GCCCATCTTAAAGCCTGCTGGCAGAATTCCGGAAGTTGAATATAAATCTTCAACTTGCCCAGACTAACAGATAACAGATAATCAGAGTTGGAAGGGACCTTGTAGGTCATCTAATCCACCCCCCACCCCACCTCCCGCCCAAGTGGGAGACTCTACACCATTCCAGTCTCTTCCTGAAAGCCTCCCGGGATGAAGCTCCCACAACTTCTGTTCTTGAGTTACGACCATAATTGAGCCCGCAATTATGGTCGCGAGTCACGACAGTCCTAAAGCGAGTCACCCTGGGATTGAGCCCAGTTTTACGCCCTTTTTCTTTTAACCGTGATTGTTAAGCAAAACACCCAAGGCTTTCACTAAGGGAGCCCATTGTTTTGGCCAGAAGCCTCTGGATCCCCGTGTCTTGAACCCTGGACCTGTGGAGGACTCACCTCAGCTCTTCTTGTTGTTTCCGAAATCCTTTTCTCAATGTAGAAGCCGTGAACAACATTGTGAAGTTCCTTGGCATGCAACCCTGCGAGAGATCGGACAAAGTGCCCGAGAACAAGAATTCCCACACCCTCTACCTGGCAGGTACAAAACCCATCGGGAAATTAGGTGTGTGCATGTGTGTGTGTGTGTGTGTGTGTGTGCAGGGGTAGGCTTCAAAAGGGGTTCTCTGCCCGGTTGCTTGGTGGGCGTGTCCATGATCGGCCTCCTGCACCACAGTGGGGGGGGGGGGCTTTTTCCCCCCCCCCCCCTCCTGAGGCTTTTCTCGAGCCTCCGGGAGGGTGAAAACGGCCTCCTCAGGCTCCGGAGGCCCTCCGGAAGCTGGAAACGGGCCCATTTCTGGCCTTCCGGAGCCTCAGAGAGGCCCATTTTTCACCCTCCCCAGGCCTCCGCGCACTTACCTGCATCCAAAACAGGCCACGAACTAGCCATAAAATTAGCTACTGGTTTGCCACTCAGCCAGTATATATGCCTAAGGCAGAACTAGAACTCACCGTCTCCTGGGTTCTCCACCTGCACCTTTATCACTGTGCCCTACGGCCAATTGTGAGGTGGGAGCACCACCTCTAGGCCACCACAACCCTCTATCTTAGGGCCTCCCACGGTCTTCCCAAAGGGATTGACCGATAGAGGTGGAGGCTCTTGCCTCACAATCAGGAGGCTGTGGGTTCAATCCTGGCTAGAGGCAGATATTTCTCTCTGGGCGCCATGAGAATATATCTGCGGAACAAAACTCCGCATTGGTGACAGGAAGGGCATCTGGCCAGTCAACACTCGGCTCCATTCAGTCGCTTAGACTCCACTCCGATGCAAGGGATGATGGAGCCCATTAAAAGATGACGATAGAAGAGCCTAAGATAGGACCGTCTCGTTTCTGCTGAAATCTTGAATCCCAGCCTACCTTCTCTCATTTCTCCCCTCCCCCCCTCTCCCTCCACCCATCCCCAGGTTTGTTCAGAGGTGGCTTAGATGTCCTGGTCAGAGCCCGACTCGCTCTTGGCGATGGCGTGACAATGCAGGTTACCGTCCGAAGCATCGTAGAAACCCCCGTGGACGTCATCTTGGCTTCCGTCGGCTAACGGTCGTAACCCGAGGCTGCCCCGTCCCTGACTCCTCTTCCGTCGGGGGCAAGGCGCGACCCGGATCCAGGGTGGTGCGTCCGTTCGGTTCGTTGGGCGATTCCCTCCGATGGTTATTCGTCTTTCAAGGAATGTTGGCGTTCCTTTTTTGCGTGTTCCCCCCAAAAGGCAAGGCAAAAACTCTGCCGCATCTTCCTCCCGGCTATAAATTATTGCCTTTGCGAGTAAGATTAGATGGGGGGGGGGGGGGTTTTAATGGGGGGGGGACATTTTTTTTCTTTTTTCTTTTTTTAAAAAAAAGTGTTCCTGGATTGGATTTTGATCGGCCGCCAATAAATGGGCTGTTTATAACACTTCCAGATGTTTTCGTTGGGTCTGAATAATGAAATGCACTTGATATATACAGTTTCCCCAAAAATATGACCTAAATTTAGCCCAAAAACAGTTTTGTATATTTGCCCTGAGAGAGTGGTCCCACGGGGGGGAAAAAAACACGCTCAACCATCGTAAACAGCGCTACCGTTTCGTCAAAAATATATGACCTATCCCGAAAGGAAGCCCTAGCTTGATTTTTAACGTGTGCCCAAAATAAGCCCTAATTAAGACCCCGCCCACTCCAGAGTGGATGGGTAAAAAATTAAGCTAGGGTGGGGCTGGGGGGGATGGAGCAGCCCTACTATTTACCTTTGGACAGGTGTAGCCAGGCCTCGCACACCCCGACACCTGCCTTGCGGGCCCATTTCTTCTGCAGCCGGCAAGGCTTTCCTGAAGGCCTCTGTGGCTGATAAGAAAGCTCTGGATCGATCCTGAAACCTTGCCGGCCACAGAAGTAGTAGTTCCTGAAGGCCTCCGACAATGAAAAAAGAGGCTGGGGGGCAGTGGATGAAATCATTGGATGAAATCCCCCGAAAATAAGACCTGGTGCCTTTTTTTGGTGGCCAAGAAAATAGAAGACAGGGTCTTATTTTCGGGGAAACGTGGTAGAAAGGAGAGTGGGGTTTGTGGAGAAGAGGAGGACTGTGGGAGGACCTTGGGGGTCTTCTGAGCTTGGTTGTTAGCCTGACAACCCTCGAATCCAGTACCTGCTTTTTGCTCGGAGGTGGGGGCCGTAGCCAGCGCTGAAAAAAGGGACTGGTCCGTTGTTTTTCACCCTTACGACTTATGACGGCTGCAGTGTCCCCCGGGGTCACCCAATCCCCTTTTGAGGCCTTCTGACCAGCAGGGGGAAGCCAGATTCACTTAACGACCGTGCTACTAATTTAACAACTGCAGTGATTCACTTAACCAAGGCGGTGAGAAAAGTCTTAAAACGGGACAAAACTCACTTAACGAACGTCTCGTTTAGCGACAGAAACATTGGGCTCAATTGTGATCGTAAGTTGAGGACTAGCTGTAGCTCATTTAGTGACCATTTACAAGGGGACTGAAGGAAGTGACTTAGGACCACGGCAGCATCCCCAGAGGTCATGTCATCAAAATTCAGACGCTCGGCTACTGACTTGTATTTACGACGGTCGCAGGGTCCCGGGGTTGCGTGATTCTCCTTTGCGACCTTCTGATGAGGAAAGTCGATGAGGAAGGCTCACTTAACGACCGTGTGACTAACTTAACGAAAGCGGCCAGGAAGGTCGTAAACACGGGGCAAAACTCAGTTAACCAGTCTTGTTTAGTGACAGAAACCTTGGGCTCGATGGTGGTCGTAAGCCGAGGACTACCTGTAATTGGGGTGTGTAAAAAAGGCAGCATGGATAATAATTCATTCTTAACTCTTTCAATTCAAGGTTGTAAGTATGGAGCCTGGATCCGTGGGAATAATCAAAAAGAATCTCTTTATATGATGCATAGCTGCCCTCCCAAATTTACAATTTAAACAGGCTGAAAAGGAGACGAGGCAAACTTCCAGAAGACAAAGCTCATCATGGATGCCATAAGGCCGTCCTCAACTTACAGCGGTTCACTTAGCATCCGTTCAAAGTTACAATGGCACAGGAAAAAAATGACTTTTTTTTCCCCTACGGCTTATGTCCATTCCAGCACCCCCTCTGTCCCCGTGATCAAACTTCAGGCCTGCGGCAAGGGACTTGTACTTACGACGGTCGCGGGGGTCCCTGGGGTGTGTGTCATGTGATCCCAACCTTCCTAACAAGCCAAGTCGGGGTGGGGAGCCGGATTCACTTAACGACCAGATGACTCACTTAAACAACCACGGAGATTCAGTGTGAGATGGCGGCAAGAAAAATCACGAAACTGGCCCACACGCGCGCTTTACAAATGTCTCACCGCAACAAGATTTGGGGCTCCGTTGTGATCCTAAGTTGTTACAGTATTGCAATTTAAGGGCTGACCGGGTGTGGCTGATGCAAGACGAGGCTGATGCAATTGAAGATGGATCAGCATTGGTACTGCTCCTTTAAGACTGGGGATGGGTTCTACCCCTTTAAGAGGTGTTTATATAAAGGCAGCCATTAGAGGGCATGTCCGGTATTCATTGCAGTGGTCTCCATGTAGAGTTAAGAAGAAAATGTCAATTCATAAAACATTTTGTATGCACATTTTATAGTTGACAACAGAAAGAAGCGGGGGGGGGGGGGGAGAGTGTCAAAGAGCAGGCGGCAGTGTGGAATCGAAAGTGCATTCCACTCGTATTTTCTTCAAAGACTGATTAGATGACTGAAGCTTCTGCCGTGCAAAAATCTAATTGGAGAGCAAGATTGATGACTCTTGGCTATGGACATGTTTCGTTGGATGATACACCCAGAGGGGTGGGGGAAAAAGCAGGATCAAGGGTGACGGTGAATTACGTATCTCAGAGTTGGCTACGCCCAGGTTACTGCCGGAAGTAGAATATTAACTTCAAATAAATCCTCTTTAGTTTTTGGGAGGGTGGCTCAAGGCTCATGATTTCATTGGAGTAACGGCCGGAACCCTGACAGGAAGATTGTGAGGTATTTTGCCTACCACGTATATGTCTGTATATAAGTCTCTGGGCTGTAGTTTTGCTCCTGGGTTGTCTCACAATAGCAGTCATGCTGCCAACGCTCCGACATAAGTCGACGAC